CTAGTCTGGGCGACAGAGTGAGACTCCAACTCAAAAAAAATAAAAATAAAAAATAAAAAACTGGCTGGGCATGGTGGCTCATGCCTACAATCCCAGCACTTTGGGAGGCCGAGGTGAGAAGACGGCCTGAGCCCACGGGTTTGAGACCAGCCTAGGCAACTTGGCGAGACCTCGTCTCTACAATAAATCAAAAAATTAGCCGGGCATGGTGGTGCATGCGTGTGGTTCCAGCTACTTGGAGGGCTGAGGCGGAGGGATCCCCTGAGCATAGCAGGCCAAGGCTGTGGTGGCTGTGAGCATGCCACTGCACTCCAGCTTGGGCCATAGAGCGAGACTCCAACTCAAAAAAACAAACAAACGAACAAAAAACCCCAACCCTGCCACACTGTTTACTAAGGTGGCTGTATCATTTTGCATTCCAATAGCAATATATGAGCGTTCCAGAAGTTCCACATCCTTGTCAACACTTGGGATTGCCAGTTTCTTTGAAGTAATTCTAAGAGGTAAGTAGTGGTATTTTAATTTGTATTTCCCGCCGGGTGCAGTGGTTCACACCTGTCATCCCAGCACTCTGGGAGACCGGAGGTGAGGGGACTGCCTGAGCCCATGGGTTTGAGAACAGCCTGGGCAACTTAGCGAGACCTCATCTCTACAATAAATAAAAAAATTAGCAGGGTGTGGTAGCGCACACCTGTAGTTCTGACTACCTGGAAGGTTGAGGCGGAAAGATCACTTGAGACCAGCAGGTCATGACTGCGTTGGCACGTGAGTATGCCCCGGCACTCCAGCCTGGGCGAAAGAGTGATACTCCGACTCAAAAAAAAAAGTGTATTTCCCTAGTGACTAATAATATGAGCATCTTTTCAGGTGTTAATTTGCCATCATACTTCTTATCCCTTAAAGTGTCTGTTCAAATATTTTGCCTATTTTTAAAAATAGATTTTATTTTTTAGAGCAGTTTTAGGTTCATAGCAAAATTGAGCAGGAAGTACAGAGTTCCCATATACTTCCCCAGACAAGCACAGACCCCTCCATCGACGTCCCACACCTAGTGAAACGGTTTTTACAACTGGTGAGCCTACATGCACACCTCATCACCCAACGTCCACAGTTTACATTAGGATTTACTCTTGGTGTTGTATATTCTATGGGTTTGGACAAATGTATCCACCATTATAGTATCAGAGAGTAGCAGCATCGTCTGTTGATCAATTGATCCATCTATCCATCTAGAGTTGGGGTCTCACTCTGTCACCCAGCTGGAGGGCAGCTGTATGATCATGGCTCACCAGTCTCCATCACCTGGGCTCAAGCAATCCCTTTTGCCTTGGCCTCCTAAGTAGCTGGGACTATAGGCACGCACCACCACATCCAGCCAATTTTTTTTATGTTAGGTAGAGACAAAGTCTCATTCTGTTGCCCACTCATGGGTTCAAGTGATCCTCCCATGTCAGCTTCCCAAAGTGCTAGGATTACAGGTGTCTGTAGTCCCAGCTACTCAGGCAGCTGAGGTGGAAGTATCGCCTGAACCCAGGAATTGAGTCTGTAGTGAGCGTGCAATTTATCTGAAAAAGGTTATATCACTCTTTCACTTGAAATATTGGAACATCCTTCTACATCAGTCTTTTTAAAGGATGTCTAATATAATTGTATATGGGTCTACCGTTACTTTTGTTTAATGGTTTTTTGTTTGTTTGTTTGTTTTGAGTTGGAGTCTCACTCTGTCACCCAGACTGGAGTGCAGTGGCCGCTCCCGGCCCCCGCAGCCTCAACCTGCTGGGCTCCGGCGATCCTTCCGCCTCAGCCTTCCGAGTAGCCGGAATTACAGGCATGCGCTACCACGCCCGGCTGATTTTTTGATTTATTGCAGAGATGAGGTCTCGCGGCCCAGGCGGGTCTCAAACCCACGGGCTCAGGCCATCCACTCACCTCAGCCTCCCAAGGCGCGGGATGACAGGCTGAGCCACCAAGCCCGGCTGTTTAATGGTTTTAACGACGTGTAACTGGCATGCAATAAATTGAGTATGTTTAAAGTGTAAAATCTTTGACTCTTTGTGTCTAGGGATGATCTGGCAAATTTTGACATATGAACAAAGCCACTACCGTGTTAAATATAACAAACATATTCATCAGCCCCAAGCCAGCCTACTGTTATTTAATCAGCCCCCAATACGTGGAAACAGCTTGTTTCTAATTTTCACTATAAATGGTACTCCAATACATCTCTTGTGTATCTGGATCTTTACATACAGGTTATTTCCTGGGAATAAAGCCCAAGTGGAATTGTTAGGCCAAGGGGTATGAGCATAGTATTTTATTACTGAGTATTAGGTATCTCATGACTTCTACTCACATTTGTTTTCATAATGCCCATTTTCAAATGTTAAATTTTAGAACATACAGTTATCCCGAGTGCCCAGTTCATCCTGATTGTCCTCCCCTCTTCCTGAACGCATTATGATTACTTGAGGATTACTTCAGGCCCTCAGGTGAATGAAGAAACAGAAGCAAAGGCTAACATAAATGTCTGTCGAATTCAAAAGTGCATCTCCAGTACTGCACACAAAGCCATTACGAGGACCGCCCCCACCATGTGTAGACAGTCAGTTCCTCCTTCCCTAAAAGCACACAAGGGAAGAGGAGTGTTGGATTCAGTGTCTACGAGGCAAATGACCGTTCTTCCTACCATTCCCTTCAGCTACTGGGCTGATGCCACCAACCTCCCTGCAATGAACCATCCTCCCCACATGAACGTTTAAAAACCACTGCAGATACACCTGACATGGCAGGTGCTTTCTAGTTTTCTTCTGTACAATCAAAAGTAACTGAAAAGGGTACTACGTCTAGACTACTTAAAAATAAAAATGTAGGTCTGATAATCAAGAGGCTAGATGCCAGAGAGTACTGGCTCCTAAATATCTGTGCAAGATTTGAGACATCTCAGAAATGTGTAAAAAGTGGTAGACCCGAAGCATGGCTGTGGATGGTGCTATGTGAGCCTGCATGGCCTGGGGATCAACCCTGGCATTACTGGCTAGGTTAGCAGTGCAGCTTTAAAACCATGCATGCTTGGGGCCTGGTGGAAAGTTCTGGTTCAAGAAGGTATGGGTACGAGCGTTCTGTTTTTTCTTGAATCGGAGTCTCACTCTGTCGCATGGACTGGAGAATAGCCACAAACTGCTGGGCTCGGGCGATCCTTCTGCCTCAGCCTTCCAAGCAGCTGGAACCACAGGCACACACCATCACATCCGGCTGGTTTTTCTTTATTTATTGTAGAGATGAGATCTGATCATGTTGCTCAGACTGGTCTTGAACCCCTAAGCTCAGCAATCCTCTCCTCTGCCTCCCAAAGGGCTAGGATTACAGGCATAAGCCACCATGCCCGGCTTGTTTTGTTTTTAAAGAAAAGCTCCACAGGTTACTCTAATATAGACAACATATAAAGAGAACAGGCAAGGCCAAGGCCCAAAACGGGGATGCCCTAAGGACACCGTGAAGAGAGTCATCTACCTGGGCCAAGACCCCATCCTCTTGAGCCGCCGTGCCCACGGGATGACCCCTTCTTTCCCTCATCAGTGCTTCTCAACCATGCTAAAATCCTCTGGGAACTACAGCCCAGTGCAGTGACTCCTGCCTGTAATCCCAGCACTTCAGGAGGCAAGGCAGAAGGACTGCTTGAGGCCAGGATTTAGACGGGCCTGGGCAACACTGTGAGACCCCATCTCAAAAAAAGATAGTAGCAATACAACAGTTATGCTTCTAGGACTCCATCCAATAAGCACATGTGTACAAACATAAATACGGATGCTCAGTATAGTTTTGTTTAGAGTAGCGAAACAATGGGATATAACCAAAATAACTACCAACAGTTAAATAAATTGTGGTGTGCTTGCCCTTTCTGCTGTAGAAGAATGAGGTGGAGTCATTTGTACTAACATGGAAAGATCTAAGATATATTGTTAAAAGCAAGTTGCAGAATAAATTTTATGGTCTAAGCCAATTTATGCTTTTTAAAAAAAAGACACATACATAAATGCATGGAGAAACATTTGGAAAGACACAGCAAACAGTAGTTTGTCGGTGTAGGATTTTATGAGTGAGTAGATCTGGGGTGGAGTTGGGGGGGGAGGTTGGACCATTTTTCCCCGTATTACACACGTATGCATAGAGAACTCAGATCCTCTTCCATTATTGCATTTAAATGAGCCTCTGAACAAAAACTGAATGGTGAGAACCAGTTGGCAGCGTGGCACAGAAGAGCTTGAGTCAGTATGAGGATAAAACACATCGGTGTCAACATGAAGTCTTTGGGAAGTGAAACTAGGCTGCGTGATTGAAAACATTCAGGGGAAGAAGACCCTCCGACGTGTATGGCACAATCCTGAAATGTTAAGAAAACAACCACTTTTGGAGAGAAACTAATTTCAGGTCAGAAATATTGCAGAGTACACAACCAGCCCAACTCTAGTGTAGGCAAAGTTGACCCTCCTCTGGAATAACACATGCGCTTTCACCTGGAGTCCTGCTTCAACCACCTGTGTGCTGAAACAGCCCCCGGAAGTCCTCTACCCTGATTTTGGGTGTAGAGATGACAGAAACCTGGGCACACCCTACATGTTCAAGAGAAGCTCTGCATCCTCTTCAGGGCACTGTGAGTCTGTGCAAAGTTCTCTGCTTTGCTTCTCTTAAACTTCAAGGTGCTTTAAATGAAATGCATGGACGGGATCTCAGTTTCACGCTATCTCTAACAGAGACAGTCTCTGTTTTGTTCTTTTATTTGCCTTAGGGCTCTCTGTTCACAAGAAGCAGAAATCCACCCAAGGAAGCTGAAGGAAAGGGAGGGAATCACCAAATGGGTCAGGGACTGAGGCACCCGGGGCCTGGGTCGGCATGGAAGCTGAGCTGTCCTCACTCCACAGCGGGCAGACGGGCCATGATTCACTCAACACTTCTCTGATGATATTTCTGGCTTTGCTCCTCTTACAGGTGATGCTCAAATGAGTATCTCACTCTTCATTTCAGTCTTGTGAGCTCAGCTGTGGGATGAGATCCCACTAGTGGAACCTCTGGGTCAGAAACAAGACGAAGTTCTGAGAGCAACTGCTGCTCAACCTCCACAGAAAAGCTCTACTACGCGTACACACACACACACACACACACACACACACACACACACACACACACACAGTGTATTACCAAGGTGTTTTCTTTTCCCTAATCTGGCTGAGACTTTATGATGCTTGTCTTACGAGGTTGAGTTCTTATGTCTAAGAATCACTTACACATTCTTTTCCAAAAACTCTTCACATCTGTTTCCCTTTTTCTACTGGATGACTGGTCTCCTGATAATCTGTATTGAGATGTGTTCTTTGTCTAGGTTGTTACCTGTATCTTTCTTGTTTGTCACCTAGCTGTTGACTTTGTGGAGTTGTTGAGTTTTGCCACAGAGCTTTCATCTTTATTTATTTATTTATTTTTTGAGTTGGAGTCTCACTCTGTCACCCAGACTGGAGTGCAGTGGCTGCTCCCGGCCACCAGCCTCGACCTGCTGGGCTCCAGCGATCCTTGTGCCTCAGCCTTCGAAGTAGCTGGAACTGCAGGTGCGCGCTACCACGCCCGACTAATTTTTTGATTTATTGTAGAGATGAGGTCTCGCCAAGTTGCCCAGGTGGGTCTCGAACCCGCAGGCTCAGGCAATCCACTCACTTCGGCCTCCCAAAGTGCTGGGATTACAGGCTGAGCCACCGAGCCTGGCCGAGCTTTCATCTTTATATAGTTTACTTTATTTCTACTTTTATGGCTTTCCCACACCAAGATTACAAAATGTTCCCATGTTTTATAGCTGTACGTTTACATTTTTTATTCACCTGGAATTCTGATACAAAGTAAGGCAGGGATCCCATTTCATTTTTTTCTAGTTTCAATACCAATTGTTAAGATAGCTTTTTTAAAACTTTTCTGAGTTGGAGTTTCACTCTGTCGCCCAGGCTGAAGTGCAGTGGCACACTCACCACCACCCCAGTGTCGACCCACTGGGCTCCGGCAATCCTTCCACCCCAACCTTCCAAGTAGCTAGAACTACAGGTGTGTGCTACCGCGCCTGGCTAATTTTTTGATTTATTGTAGAGATGAGGTCTCGCCAAGTTGCCCAGGCTGGAAGATAGCTTTTTAACTCATTCAATTCGCATCATCTTAAGCACAGATTCCATTTCTTTGTGTATTCCAAGATGATTTGGGGACTCTCTTCTGTTTACTCATCAGTCCTTGCAGTATCAAACTGTGTTGTTTATTACAGCTTTATAGTATGTTTTACTATCTGGCAGGTGGTTCCCCACATCCTTCATTACTCTCCTCTAACGTGCACATTTGTAAATGTATTTGTAGAATAAGCAGCTTATCTGGTTCGAAAAAATAATTTTTTAATTTTTACTTATTTACTTGTTTAAGTCAGAGTCTCACTCTGTTGCCCAGGCTGGAGTACAGTGGCATGCTCACGGCCACTGCAGCCTCGACCTGCTAGGCTCAGGGGATGCCTCCGCCTCAGTTTTCCAAGTAACTGGAACTACAGGCGTGCACTACCATGCCCAGTCTATTTCTTATTTATTGTAGAGACGAGGTCTCCCCAAGTTCCCCAGGCTGGTCTCGAACCTCTGAGCTCAGGCAATCCTCTCACCTTGGCCTCCCAAAGTGCTGGGATCATAGGCTTGAGCCACCACGCCCGGCCTAAAAAATAATTTTTTAAAAACTGTGGTTATTTTTAACAGGGATCATGTTAAGTTTTGGGACACTGACATCTTTAGGACCCCAAACTTTGCTATCCAAGAAGAGAGTACATCTTTCCATTGTCAAGTCTTGTTTTGTGGTCCTCAGCCTCAGCATGACTTTCCACACAACTCTTACACATGCTGCATAGTCCCAAGTATTTATAGCAGCACAATCTGCAACAGGTGTTGGTCTGAACATGGCTAGCCTAGGCCCTTTCCCTCTTGTTTTTTGTTTTTGTTGTTTGTTTGTTTTGTTTTTTTGAGTTGGAGTCTCCCTCTGTTGCCCAGGCTGGAGTGCAGTGGCATGCTCACGGTCATTGCAGCCTCGACCTGCTGGGCTCAGGTGATCCTTCTGCCTCAACCTTCCAAGTAGCTGGAACTACAGGCACGTGCTACCACGCCTGGCTAATTTTTTGGTTTATGCAGTGACGAGATCTTGTCAAGTTGCCCAGGTTGGTCTTGAACCCAGAGAATTGCTCAGGCAATCCTCTCGCCTCAGTCTCCCAAAATGCTGGGATGACAGGCGTGAGCTACAGTGCCCGGCTCCTTTTTTCCTCTTATAGAAGACCTGATGGTTCTGTCTGGGTGCCCAAAGGATTCTTTCTTCATCATAATAGAATCGTGTAGAAACGTCTGCATCCTCTCCAGTCTTTCAACTGCTGACTTCCAGTTCATGTTCCAGCCTGCATTGC